AGGATTTATGACTCACATTGGGCACAAATGAATGAGTAATCAAAATTTTTTAGGGGTGTATTTGTAAACTTTTAAGGTATTTTTGTTAATTTTTAAACTAATTGGAGGGTAATTGATTTTTTACAGGGTACCCGGGAAAGGAATCGAACCTGCATTTTAGGTTTCGGCTCCTTGAATTTAAGAACCTGCACTGTGTGGTTCTGGTTCTGGTTCCTTTTCTTGGGAACCTGCATTGTGCAGTTCTGGTTTCGGTTCTCCTGAAAAATATAGGGTAACCGGAACTGCTAACCCCTATCATTTACTGTCTCTTTCCGAAGGGATGCATCACGAGAAGTTATTGCTTCTTCAAAAGTCTGAGGATCATTCTCTGTAAGAAAGACATAGTAATAATCATCACCAAAACTTTTGGCTTTTCTTACTCTTTTACTTCTTATTTCTAACCCTGAACCTTCAGAAGAATTTTGATGAGTTTTACTTTGAGGTAAAACCTTTTCACAATTGATTTTCTTAGGAAAAACATTCTCAAAGAAATCTACGTTTTTAGATTCAATGATTGTGTTTGCATCATACAAACCAACCTCTTGCTTTATTACCATGAATCTATAAGCAGCACTGTTCTAAGCATAACCTATAAACATACAATCAACAGTCCTGGGTCCTGGGTCCTGGGGCCTAACCTTTTCCTTTTAGGTTCAGGAATTAGGACTTTACAAAACACCCCTACACTTTAAAATATTTTAGGTTATGTACATGACCTTTCCAGAGTTCATATGGTGTTTTGCCTGTTTTCTTAAAAGGAATTATGTTTTGTATGTAACAAGCTAAAAGCATTGCTTTCCCCCACAAATTAAAAGGTGCTCCAGAACTAATCAACATATCATTCACCATTTCTTTTAAAGTTCAATTTTTCCTCTCTATAACTCCATTTGACTGTGGAGAATAAGGAGGTGTAGTCTCATATATTATACCATGATCTCCACAAAAGGAATCAAAGTCATTTGACTCATATTCACCTTTTCTATCCGTTATTAACCTTTCAATTTTCTTATTGAGTTGATTTTCAACTTCATTTTTATAAGTTAAGAATATTTTAATTGCTTCGTCTTTACTTCTTAATAAGTTTACTCTAGTATATCTAGAGTAATCATCAATAAAAGTTATGTATAACTATTTTCCTCCTCTGGTCATGGTTTGTTTCAAATCTCCAAGATACTGTGAATTAAACCGAGAAGCTCATTTTCTCATTCTAGAATTGGTTTACAAGTCTTTTTAGTGGATTTAGATTCCACACACACATCACATTTATCAATATTTGAAATATTGACATTTGATAATAAACCAAGTTCTTTCATCTTTTTCAGATAACTTTAATTCACATGACCTAATCTACCATGCCATAAATCTATTGAATCAATAACATAAGTAGAAGAAGATGCATTTTCATTCATAATGATATTAAGTACATTGAGTTTAAATAACTCTCCAGAACAATACCCCTTCCCAACAAAGGCCCTATTCTTGGATATTACAATTTTGTCACCCCCAAAGGAGACTTTCACTCCAGCTCCCAATATATAAATAGATACAGGATTATATCGAATGTTTGGAACATGTAAAATATTACTCAGTGAGAGGGTTTTTCCAGAAGTAAGTTTGAGAAGAATTTTCCCCTTTCCCAAAACAGGAGTATAGCGGGAATCACCAAGGTAAATACATTCTTCTCTATCTCTTACTGGTATGTATTCATAGAAAGAATTTCTATCTCCACAAATATACTTTGTAACCCGAGAATCAATTATCCATTCTTTCTTTTCGGCAATCATGTTCACTTGTGAGACAAGCACAACAACAATAACATCATCTTCCTCAGCTAGATTGGCTTTAAGATGATTTTTGTTGTCTCCAGTTTTTCTGTATCTGCATTGGCTAGCAAAATGTCTAATTTTCCCACACACAAAAACAGTGTCCTTTCTTTTTGAAAGTGTTGGGGTTTTTGTTATTAAATAATTTCTTGTTATTGTTTTTAAAACCCTGTGGTTTCTTATTCTTAGGTTGAGGAGAAGCTACTTGATTTTCGACAACATTAGCCTTGGATGTTAATTCCTTGGCCTTAGGGGTGGGAAAAAAAGTTCGAAAACCAAATCGGACCGAAACTGAATTGAAAATTCGGTTTTTTTGTAAACCGGTTCAGTTTCGATTTTTAAAATTTCATAAATTGATTATCCAGTTCGGTTTATAGATTTTTTCAAATCGGTTAACCAAAACTGGATTTTAAAACTAGTTTAAAAAAAAAAAAAGTAATATTTAATATAGGGGAAAAATGTCTTGTTTAATATTGTCACGAACATGGGAGAGGATGCAGCTTACATTTACGAGTCAAACCAAACCCAACCCCCAGGCATCTCTCTCTCTCATTTCTACATCTCATGTGTAGATTTGTAACTCGGGGCTCGTGCTCCTTCATTCTCTCTCCCACTTTAGCCTTCTCCTCTTTCTCTCAACTATTCAAATTCCATTCTCATACTCTCTTTTTCTCGCGACTGAACTTAGTTCTTTGGCATGGAGAGGAAAGAAACAACTTCCTTATAATCTTAGTTCTAGAAATTCCTTCATCGTTAATGAAACTTTTGAGGTACGTGGCTTCTCGTTCTTATCTCTATTTCCGATTAATTTGTTTTCTTGTGTTATTGTATTTAGAACTTATTGTTATGAGTTTTTGTAGACCTTCAGGGCGCCATTCCAAGATTAATCCTGAGATAATCAAATCTATTATTGCGTCCGACGGGAATAGTTTTGATTCAAAGAAGATTAATTTATTTTATAATTTAAAATTCGGTTCAAATCGGTTAACCGGTTTTTCGAATCGGTTATTTGGTCAGGTTTAAAATTGGTTTAAGCACTGATTCGGTTTGGTTTGGATTTTTCCTTGAACCAGTTTTTCGGTTTGGTTTGAAAAATGCCCCAATCGGTTCGGTTAGCTGGTTTTTCCCACCCCTACTTAGCCTTATCGGCTTTATCTCTAAGCCTATTTGTCTCCTCAATCCTAATATGTACTATCACATCTTCTAAGCTCATTTGCTTCTGCTTATGTTTTATACTATTCTTATAATCTCTCCATGAATCTGGAAGTTTCTCAATTAAACAACAAGCCACAAAAGTTTTAGAAAGAATTATTTCTTCATTTTTCAAATCATTTATCAATAAATGATAATCATGGACTTGCATGGATACCTCTTTTTCTTCTACTATTTTAAAATCTAGGAAGTTTCCTATGACATAGTTTTGTTATCCAGCATCCTCAGCAACATATTTCTTTTTCAGGATTGTCCATATCTCATGTGCAGTCTTGTAAGCGCAATAAACATTACAAAGCTCATTTGATAATGTACTGAGGATAGTATGGTGACATACCTTATTTCCTTTCTTCCATGTATCAAGTTTTTTGTCAAAATTGTCCACTCTAGGTTTTGGTTCTTCTATTGAGAGATACTTTGCAAAATTGAGCATGTCCAGGGAGTCAAATACTTTTTCTTGCCACCTCTTGAAATGAGCTCTAGCGAAAGGCTCAATTTTGGAGATGTCAGGAAGTGATTTTGGTGGTGAGAACTGCAGCATCCATCTCGATAAAATTATGATCTTAAGATTGTTGAATTTTAATAATAATTAGCAGCAAAACAGTAGAAGAATAGTAGGAAAACAACAAAAAAATAGCAGAGAGACAACAACAAAACAACAACAAACACAATAGCAAAATAGCAATGAACACAACAGCAAAATAGCAACAAACATAGCAGCGTCAAAGAGTGCAAAAGCACTGTCCTTAAGATCAGATTTCTGCCCCATTGGAAGGATCTTCTCGATGCAAATGGCTCAGATGCAGACCGACCTCCAGGATACAATGACGAGCTTCTATTTAAAGTGCACTCTTTAACCAAAGCTTAAAATAGTATAAGATAAAATAGAAGTGGTGAAGGAGAGCTGGAAAAAATAAAAATGTAGAGGCAAAATGAATTCTCTCAAGTAGGAAAATTGCCGCTGCATAAAAGAGAATAAAACACCTCTTGTTATACTTGCCTCTTACATGTAACAACCATTTTTTTTTAATTATTAAGATTGAAATTGCCTAGCTTTTATAACATCCATTTTTAATTAAAAAAAAGGAAACTACCTAGCCATGATTTGAATTGTAAAGTAACCGAAGCAATTGCAATTGCATTCAAGTCATAACAGTCCAAAATTTTAATTACATTCAAATCATAATAGTCCAAAAATTTAATTAAAAAATTGGTATTTTGAAATACCATAACAACTCAGCTTTTATAACACATTTCACATAATGAGTTAACCTTTTGGGTGTGAAACTTCAGCTCGTGACAAAATGCTGAGCTATTTCCATGTTACCTGATGGATACAATCAACTCACCAATCAAAATTCTATTATTTGAGTGATAGACCAAAAAAACTGAAATATTTTTCCCTATATTTAGGTTGTAAGATTAATGTCAAAGAGAAGATTTGGGATTTGTAAAAAAAAAAAATTGATGTTAACAAGAAGTATGATTCATGATGAGAAGGATGTAAAAAGTATTTTGATATATTATTTTTAAATTTATTTTTTCTTTATAAATAGTATTTATTTTGGCAGAAAATTTGTCTCTATTAGTTTCACAAACTATTGAACTAACAACATCACCCCTAATTTTTGAAGTCACAACTCACATCTCACATGTAAAATCAATATTCAATAGAGGATTAGGAAGGGTGATGATTGTTTTTTGAACCCAAGAGGGTAAAATAGGAATATGTCACTCATACATGGGGTATGACACTAGTTTACTTTACGCTATACCAAAAGGACAATGGCATTACGCATTACCGAAGATTGATTTTGGATTTCTCCGAGGAGGCCTAGGGCTGATCTCACTGTAATTCCACTCTGCAAAATGAAAACCCTAACCTCGAAATTCCTTGTCTCTAGGACCCTAGAACTGCAATTGCAAATGGCATCTTCTTCATCTAATACAAATATTACATCTCCTTCATTTCTCCCCCTACGACGCCGTCCTAATCATTGCCCCATCTTTTCTTCTCCCTCCTATCTCAGACCCAGAACCAGAAATTCCAAGTTGGTCCGCCTCTCAGCTTCTCTCGCTCACGTCTCTTGGCTCTCTCCTCACCAGAGTGATAGTAACGATTACAATGGTTGGGCCATTGTCGAATCTCCTCCTCCTCAAAACAATAACAAGAAGATAGGTATTGCCTTTGCTCTTGATTTTTCACTATTTCGATTTAAACGGTGTTTTGACCGCGTTACTTGTTTTTTCGTTTGTTCAGGTTTGTCTACGGTTGTGATTAGAGTTGCTGTGGGGTCTTCATTTGGTCTATTACTTGCTATCATTTCTTACTTTTCTCTCTCTAGAGCAGGTTGCATCCTTTGTTTAATTGTTTCTTTGATTTTTCTGAATTGATTTTATTAAAACTTACTGCAATGTATTTGGATAGCAGGGTTCAAGTTCCAGTTCGGTAGTCCGTTGAATGTTTCGAATGAAATTTTAAAACTGAATGAAACAAAATCTGATGAAAGCAAAACTGTGGACTCTCGTGAAACGGATGGATACACCATCGCAAGCCCTGGCCCAGAGTCTGTACCTGATGGCACTGGCAAAACTGTTGCTTCAGGTACATTTACACAATTTTTCTTTTTGTTTTGTATTCAAAATATTAGTGGCTTGTCTTTTCTGATCTGTAAAATTGGTCATTGTTGAAGTTTTGTATCGTGGTTTTTTTGCTGGTATAAGTATGAGAAAACAAGAATTGGCATTATGTTGGAAAAGGCCAGTGTAATCGGTGGGGTAGAAATGTTTTCGCATTTAGAATTATAAACATCAATTCAGTTATTGTATGATCAGCAATGCAATTATTAAGTTGTTGACTGTTTTTAATTGTTCTGGAGTTGTTAATGAGTAGCTTCTTTTGATCTTTAAAATGTCCCTTGTCAACTACATTATTATGCTGCTGTGGAGATTTGCAAAGCCGAAATTTCAGGGTAGAATTTGGTTTAACACATTGAATGATCGATTCTTGCATATAATATCACTCTAAAAAGGAAAGGATTTCAGGGACATCTGCTGGATTTCTAATGGTGATGTATTAGATATGAATTTTCTTTAATGTTCCCTGCTTTCTTTTTTCTTTTTGTTCTTTTGAGAAATTCCAACCAGAAACATTTTTGGAACTGAACCCAAAACGAGGACTCCTTACTCTCCATCTTCAACTGTGGTTGGTTCCAAGGCGTTTTAGGATTAATGCTGTCTATGCATTTTCCTTTATGAGCTGTGCCTTCTAACATTCATTAAGATGAGAGGGGATATAGGGTTAAAAGGGGGGAAAATACTTGGAGAAATGATTGATATTTGTGCTTCCCTATGGCTATATCTATCATTTTCACTAAGCTTTTGATGCATACTGTCAGTATAAACTGTGCTGTTCAACCTAGTTGTTGTCAAATTAGAAGAAATTTATTAGTAGCTCTTCATTTTTTCAGCTGCTAATGGTCCATGTTCTCCTTATATGTTCCTAATTATCTCTCGAAATGATCAAATCTTTAATAACATTCCTATTTTGCTTTAACTATATTTCTTTATTGGCCTTGCATCTACTTCAGGATCAGTGGACAGGCTTGAGCGTGTTATCGTGTCGGTTGCCGTAGATTCTACTCAACAAGAGGCCTTGTCTGTTCTGAAGAAACTGAAGGTTCGGTTCTACAGCTTTTAATTTTTTGATCTGTTTTTATTTTTTTGGGTGTCACTCTACAATGGGATACATACGTTCTACAAAAATTGTGCAAATTAAATCCTGAATTGAACTATGCCACGGCTTTGCTGAGGCATTGATTTCCTTTATTCTTATTGTTGTATTTGCATGTCTAAATGAGCCTGAAGTGGCATAATCTATTTTACGAGTTCTGAAGTTGTCAAAGTTCTTACTGTTTGCTGAACAAAGGGTTGGAGGTATAGAATTCAGAAATTCCTGAATAGTAACTGCCTCCGAACAGTTGTTTTGTTGCATGAATGAATCAGTTTTATAATTATCAGCGTTTGGGCTTTATGATTACTTTTTGGTTGCATGCCCTAGAATTTTTGCGCATTTGATGTGTTTCTTCAATTCTTTAAATGTTGACCTTTTAACTAATGTTAATGGAGTTTTGGGTCCAGTTCTGAGCATGAGTGTCTCAACTGTAATTAAGGTATACAGATCATTGAAGATAATGTAAAGGCTGATGAATTGTGCACTAGAAGGGAATATGCGAGATGGCTTATTCGTATGAACTCATTATTGGAGAGGTATAAATCAAATCATGTATGCAGTTTGCAATAGTTTGAAACAAAATTTTTTTAGTGTATCTTCATGCTTCATCTCTACTATTTTATTATTGAACTTGTAGGAGCCCGAAGCACAGGATTGTTCCATCTGTATCACTCTCTGGGTCTGTGGTTGCTGCCTTCGATGATGTGGATGTTGAAGACCCAGATTTTGAGTCTATCCAAGGTAACGTTTGATCATGATGTTTGTGTTCTATCTTAAGGTGGGTGTATAATGAAGAGGGATTTTAAACTTTTATTTCTTAATTTGCAATTTAGCACTTGCTGAGGCTGGTGTTGTTCCCAGCAAGCTATTAGGGAAGAACTATGGTTCTGACCATTCTGAAGGCCAGGGAGGCGTCCACTTTTCCCCTGAGAGGTACAGCTCATGCACTGATTTTAATACTAGTTTTAAAATTAGTTCCCAGTAGTTAAAGAGTGGTTGGTACTGCAGGTTCATTTCTCGACAGGATCTAATAAACTGGAAAGCCCAAGTACAGTATGAATTCAAGCCAGATGTCTTGGAACAGGTACAATAAATTTCAAATATGACTTTCAGTCAATTTTTTTCCTTTGATAATTTTTAAATTAAAACTGATACTTCCTAGTCTTTCATAGTTTTTAAAACCTGACCTGTTTACAGTCCAGATATCAACAAAAGTGGGTTATATGGATGTGAAGGAGATCAGTTCAGATGCATCTCTGGAACTTTTCTTGGACTTGCTAGCTGGGGACAAGAGCATAGTGAGAAAAGTTTTTGGTATCCTCCTTTTCTCCTCTCTCTGTTTCTGCTCTGAAATCAAAGTTGCTCTAATCATTTATAAGTTCACTGACCAAAAATGATTTAAAATCCTCTGCTGTGGTCTGCATTATACAGACACCCACACATGTGCACTTATAGTAGATTTCTCTTTGCAAATCAAGGAATCACAATTTACTTTTGCATGCCACCTTGAAACAATAGCTCAGAGCTTGGTCCTAGGAGAAAGGTAAAAGCAAGTGGAAGGTGGCATGAAGACTCATTGGTGACCCTTATTTTAACACTGTTGTAAGAATTTATAGAGAATCAATGGCAGAGTAACAATAAGCTAATCCTGAATACTTGGATCAATTTTTTTCTTCATGATATGTGGATTTACTAGCCTCCTTTTGTTGTGGGCAGTTGAGAACTTTCACATAGTAAAACTGCATGATAGCTAATCACATTCAAAGATGATGACTTAATGCTGGAATATTCATTTCGTAGGTCAGAGCAAGCGGTTTCAACCAAATAAACCTTCAACAAAAGCTCAAGCAGCAGTGGCATTGATGAGTGGGAGGATGGCAGAAGCTGTATATACTGAATTGTCAAGACTTGAAGCTGAAAGGTTATCAAGGGAAGCTGAGATGGAAGAAATTAGGTCTGAGTTGCTTGATAGGGGAGACATACAAAGATGTTGGGATGAGAAATTCAGTGAAGAGAGAACTCGAGGTTTTGAGGTGGAGAAGCTTTATTTATCTGCACGTGCTGATTTGGAGCAGGAGTTGAATGTTCAAGAGAAGTATGATGCTGAGACTTTGAAGGAGAAGGCAGCCATGGATTGTCAGAGGCAACTACTTCTGAATCTGAAGGAAGAGGTTGATGAGATGACAGTAAAGCTTGCATCTGAGAGGGCCACGTATGTGGAGGAGAAGTGCCAATTACAGAATATGCTTGGTGAATTACTGACGAAGCAGGAAGGACTTCTTGAGACCAAGTCTATACTGGAAGCTGAGAAAGAAGCACTTCGGATTCTTAGGTGAAGATTATGATTATATATTTCTTTATCTTAAATTTCTTAGTTGATAATTGTTATGTTTTTCTCATAAATGGAAGCTATAAATGCAGATCTTGGGTAGAAGATGAAGCAAGGAAAAGTCAAGCCCGTGCTAAGGTTCTCGAGGAAGTAGGCCGAAGGTGGAGATGGAACAGCCATGCTTGAATGTCAATTGTCCTTAAAAAATACATCATCCATTATGACCTTGAAATACTTGATGGGGCTATAGAAAAATGCCTGATTAATGTGGTGTGCACAAATTTTCCTTGTAGAATTTCCTGTATGTACGATGGTTTTATTGGATGGGGAAACATTATTCCTCTTTTCTTATAACACCCAGTTATATTTGAGTGGGTTTCAAACTAAGCTAGCAATCAAGAAAATTCAAAATTCATTTGATTTTTTTTTTCCGAGAACCAAGAAGTTTCTTTCGTTAAGAATAAGGCCACCGTTTTCATCATATGCTAAAGCTAGTTGTGAAAATGAGCTATAACAAACTGATGGACCTCATCCCTTTTGGCTTTGTAAATTTTTATCAATAGTAAATCAATCCCTAAAGCTGAAGTCTCAATACATCTCAAGTTGAATGCTATTATGACTGGATAAATATATCTTTTTTTTAACAAGTTTTTTTTACAGATTAAAAAAAAAAGGTAATAAAACCTTAAATGGAAATGAGTAAAGCCAAATATAAAAATGTGTACATATCTTAAATGGCGATGATTTTAAGGCAGGCCGAAGTCGTATACAAAACTTGAAAGCTACAGCCTGGGGATGGAGCAGCGAATAAATATTGATGAGATTTGTTTGTTGTATGAAGGGCAGTGTAAGTGTTCAGTTTGTACATAAAACCAAATTTATGATGGAATGATTTTTCTGTGGATTTAGGCCACGTAAAATAACATCCTCTGATCGAAATCTTTTGTCATTATATTTTGTTAAATCCCATGATATTAACAAGATAAAATCACAGGAAAGTATGAGGCGTGAGCCACTCGAGGGTTCTGGTTCTGGATAACACTTTGGATGCTACTGTGCCATTGGAGCCCACCATATTTATACAAAGAAAACGATTTTTTGATTTGTCTCTTATTTTTATTCTATATAATTCAGTTTCGTTTACACCAGAAAATTCCTGGGCTGAATTGAACAAGGGATATTGATTACTCTAACTGCTCCATACTTGCCAGGTGACCAATTGATTTGATGCATATTTAACTATTAATTAACCCATTCTTGGGAACTTGTTAAATTGAGTCACATCTCAAAACTCTATATAGAAATATCTGGACTTATACTAGGGATATAGTAAAGGTTAACAAAAGAGCACCCAATAATTCAAACCAAAACCTCCAAAAAGAGGGAGACACATGGGCATAATTTAACACGATTGTGTCTCACCAAATAATCCAATGAATGATCAGATAAAGCCAAAAAGGTCTACATGTAAATTTAGACATCAATCACCAAAAAGCTTTGGTTTACTAAGCCTCTCTTGGCTACATCTGCTGCACAATAAATTTCAGCCTTACTTTACTTATCAAAAACTTCTTCATTTTAATTCAAATCACAACATTCACATAATCAAATATTTACCATTACATGCCTAACACATGCACCACTTTTGTTCCTCAAAGCTCAAACCATTCTCTGAGAATCAGAATCCTTTGATCAAAACATTTGCTATGTGGGTCCTCTGTTACTGAAAACCTAACCCAAGCTTTACCTTTTCATCAAATAATCTTGTGACATTTAATTACACAACCACCTACAAGTTAACTGTGATAACAGCCAACAAAATAAATTTAGTTTGGAGGCAAAAGAGACAAACTAAGTTCGTTCTCTTGCACTCCTTTTACGCTTGAACTAGAAAGGAAGATACGGGTGGTACCTGTTTTCTATTTATTCAAATTTTACAGTTGCTTCTGTCTCTTTCAGACTAGTTTTTCTGGGTTTATTTTAACTCTATATATTCCCACTGAAGGAAAATGGAAAGATTTTAGGCTTAGCTTATGTGTATTTTGTCCCCTTTGGAGCAAAACTGACCACTAGTTATTGGTGGTTTCTGTAGCTCTTAGCATGAATTCTACTTGTCAGGAATTTGTGCATGCAACGAAAGTTTTATCTTTGAAATTGCTGCTGGTATATATATAATATTTGGACATGTTTTAAGCATTCTTATCTGGGTTTTGCTTAAAGGCTTGCGCCAGCAAAGCTTTATATGCAAATTCTGGATTTTGATGTGCTGTTTTTGCTTTTTAAAGGACCTGGTGGTTTGATTTATAAGTGATGGGGTTGAGGAGGAATGGATGGTGGAGTATATTGGGATTGGTTAGAGTGTATAGATGAGTGTTAATTCAAGTTTTTCATATCAACAATAATTCCTACATGATAGTCAGGTTAGGATTCCTGGTTGCTGCTTCAATTGCAGCCTTTACGGTCAAGCAGCTCAACCTTAAAGCATCAAAGTCCTCTGCTTCTTTAACCAAGCCTCCAGGTACTTTGGTTTTATCAGCCTTCTAGTTTATCAGTCATTTATGTTGTTTGTTGAGGAAACAGCATATTAGGAAAAGAAATACCGCATCTTTGAACCTTTTTTTTGGGTCACTTACAAGTACTCTGCCTTTTCAGGCTTACGGCTTGGTAATCTTATATAAAATAGTTTATGCTTTGTGTTTTCTTTTACTTTTTCTGAAGTTCATTTTGCTCTATGCTAATCTTTGTTTGGGTTGAATTGGAACTCAGAAGATGGTGAACAAATTCAAAATGAGAGACTCAAAGAGAAGAAGGTAAGCATATGTTCAGGTTTTCTTTAATCAATTTTCAATCTCTTTCTGATGAATGAAAGTCTAGCATGCAAGAGTATGATATGCTTGCCTCATATTTTTTCCGTTAAGAAGAATAGAAGTTTTTTGAATTAATCTCTTGTATTAAGGCATGCTCTATATTGTAGTGGGAGGAAGAAGAAGAGGAAGAAGAGGTCAAATTGATTAGCAGCATATTTAATCGGGCTCGTGGTAGTCCACCTGATACTGAAGATGAAGATATTTTACCTGAGTTTGAAGAGCTTTTATCTGGAGAGATTGAATATTCATTACCTCGTGACAAGTTTGATAATGCAGAGAGGGATAAAGTTTATGATACTGCAATGGCAGATAATGCAAGGGAAATGGAACGCTTACGCAACCTAGTAAAGGAATTGCAGGAAAGGGAGGTGAAGCTTGAAGATGAATTGCTTGAGTATTATGGACTGAAGGAGCAGGAATCAGATGTTGTGGAATTACAAAGGCAGCTAAAGATCAAGACAGTGGAGATTGACATGCTGAATATTACTATAAACTCCTTGCAGGCTGAGAGGAAGAAGCTTCAAGATGAGATTTTGCAGACTTCTTCAGCAAAGAAGGAGCTGGAGGTGGCCAGGAGCAAGATCAAGGAGCTCCAGAGGCAAATTCAACTTGATGCCAACCAGACAAAGGGTCAGTTATTGCTGCTCAAACAACAGGTTTCTAGTCTTCAGGCAAAGGAGGAAGAAGCTGTCAAAAAAGATGCTGACCTTGATAATAAGTTGAAATCTGTTAAGGAGTTAGAAATGTCGGTTGTGGAGCTTAAGAGGAAGAATAAAGAACTTCAAATTGAAAAGAGAGAGTTGACAGTTAAATTGGATGCTGCTGAAGCAAAAATAGCAGCCCTCTCCAACATGACAGAGGTAGCTCCAGTGCTTTCTTCAAAATCTATGTTCTAATTCAAATATGTGTTCCCTTTTTTCTTTTTTCTTTTTTCCTTTTGGTTGGGGAATGGGATGGATGTTCACAATTAAGTTGCTTCCTTTTGTGACATTTTTAATTTCCTCAAGTCTATATGACATAAAATACAGAAGTGTCCTTCAAGATGGCTGATTGGAAACAAAGAAATGATAAGATAACCACAACAAGCATTATTTGGAAAAGATTTGGACTTTCCTAAGTTAAGTGTCTTCAAGTTGAAAACTAACTTGATTTGGTCCTCCAGATTCATCCTGTAACTTTCTAGGTGAATAAAAGAGATTAACCTGATTGGTTAATTGACAATGGCAGATATTTTTTGGTAAATCTTTAGATGTGCTGTCAACCTATCACACATATATGGTTGATGATATTGTTGAAATCAGTAGAACTTTGCATTTTAATTTTTTCTAAATCATCAATTCATTTATGATGTCCCTGCACACTGTGCTGTTCAAGACGGAATGTTTCTGCCAAATAAGAAGGGTCTTGAATAAGGATAGAATTCTTAGAGATATCTAAGAAGGCTCTAGTTATATTTTTAAGAAATTAAATTAACTAGTTGAGGGGATAGATAACTAGTTGAGTGGATAGAACCTAGGTTATTTCACTAAAATGTTAATGATTCTACTCTTGTTCATCAGATTGATTAAATCATTCTTACTTTATATTGCCATTTCTCTACAGAGTGAAATGGTTGCCAATGTGAGAGAGGAGGTTAATAACTTAAAGCATGCAAATGAAGATCTGTTAAAGCAAGTAGAAGGGCTTCAGATGAACAGGTTCAGTGAAGTTGAAGAGCTGGTGTACCTTCGCTGGGTCAATGCGTGTTTGAGGTATGAGCTCCGGAACTACCAGGCACCCGCCGGAAAAACTTCAGCTCGTGATCTCAACAAGAATCTAAGCCCCAAATCTCAAGAGAGAGCTAAACAGCTGATGTTAGAGTATGCAGGATCAGAACGTGGCCAAGGGGACACAGATCTTGAAAGTAACTTTTCCCACCCATCTTCACCTGGGAGTGAGGATTTTGACAATGCCTCTATTGATAGTTCAACTAGTAAGTACAGTAATCTCAGTAAGAGACCTAGCTTAATCCAAAAGCTGAAGAAATGGGGAAAAAGCAGAGATGATTCAATGCTTTCATCACCAACCAGATCTCTCTCTGGAGGCTCTCCAAACAGAATTAGCATGAGCCATCGACCAAGGGGTCCTTTGGAATCTCTGATGCTGAGAAACGCAGGTGATGCTATGGCCATCACTACATTTGGGAAACTGGAGCACGAATCTATGGACTCACCTGAAACTCCAAACCTCCCACACATTAGAACACGGGTTTCTTCTAGTGATTCACTGAATAATGTTGGAGATTCATTCCAATTGATGTCAAAATCAGTTGAAGGAGTTCTATCAGAAAAATATCCTGCATATAAAGACCGGCACAAGTTGGCCTTAGAGAGAGAAAAGCATATTAAGGAGAGAGCGGAGAAAGCAAGAGCACAGAGGTTTCGTGAGAATTCAAATTTTGAGTCTAAGCCTGCACTTTTGCCACCAAAACTTTCTCAAATAAAGGAGAAGCCAACTGTGTCTGGTGGTTCCAATGATCAATCTAACAATGAGAAGGCTGCCGATTCTCAAATGATAAGCAAGATAAAACTTGAGCATATTGAGAAGAGGCCTCCCAGAGTGCTTAGACCACCTCCAAAACCAACTGGTGGTGCTGCTGTGGGTGCAAATGCAAATCCTTCCAGTGGCGTACCTCCAGCTCCAGCTCCACCAGGTGCTCCACCACCACCACCACCACTACCTGGTGGACCACCTCGTCCTCCGCCTCCACCAGGAAGCCTGCCAAGAGGGGCAGGAAGTGGAGATAAAGTTCAACGAGCTCCTGAACTTGTTGAATTCTATCAATCATTGATGAAACGTGAAGCAAAGAAGGATACAACAACAACATCCTTGATTTCATCAACATCTAATGTGTCAGATGCTAGGAGCAACATGATTGGAGAGATTGAGAACAGATCAACATTCCTTTTAGCTGTATGCTAAATAGTTCATCCATTTTAATTTGCCTCCTTTACATGGGCATTCATTGTGAATGTTCAAAATTTTTAACAAGGTAAAATTGTGCCATGATCCAGGTGAAAGCTGACGTGGAAACTCAAGGTGATTTTGTCCAGTCATTGGCAGCTGAAGTTCGAGCAGCTTCCTTCACAAGCATTGATGATTTGGTGGCTTTCGTAAACTGGCTAGATGAGGAACTTTCATTCTTGGTATGTCTTATTAAGTAATTAGAAAATATTATGTTAAAATCAAAAGAGGATCCCATTTTCATACAAGTGCATAAATCTTTTTTTTTTTTTTTTGAGGAAATATGAATTATGAAGACTATGTATGCCACACCTTTTTGGCTCTTTGTACACATGCTTCCCATGGTTGTCTCTCTTGTTTAAGCAAGAGCTAAGAACTGAGATGTTTAACTATTATCTTCATACTGTTTGTGTAAATTAACTAACTAAATAACTTTGTAAAAATACTTCGTTCTTAGATGCATCTTTTAGGACTTCCTTTCTAATCATATATTCCATTCTCCTGTCTTTGATTAGGTTGATGAACGGGCTGTTCTCAAGCACTTTGATTGGCCTGAAGGGAAAGCAGATGCATTAAGAGAGGCTGCTTTTGAGTATCAGGACCTGGTGAAATTGGAGAAGCAGGTGTCTTCTTTTGTTGATGATCCCAACCTCCCATGTGAATCTGCACTGAAGAAGATGTACAAATTGCTTGAAAAGTATGTAAATTCTCTCATTTTACATGCATTTTGAATTTATAAAAAACAAAAGAAAGATTGGTAAACAGTTGAAAATAAGCTTTTGGAAAACCAATTTAAACTGCCATCATCTCTTCCGTGTGAACAATTCATTCATTCAGTTATAACCTTCTATCTCTTGAGTAGCTCCCCTGACATTTTGTTTACTCTTGACTGTCAGAATATCATTTGTTTGTTAAAAAAACGTGTCGTATTTTTGAGTTTATTTATTTTCATTCTTATTATTTTTTTCTTTTTGCCAGAGTGGAACAGAGTGTATTTGCTCTCTTACGTACAAGAGACATGGCTATTTCAAGGTATAGAGAATTTGGAATTCCTGTTAACTGGTTACAAGATTCAGGAGTTGTTGGCAAGGTATATCCTCCGTAACTNTCTTCTTTTGTTGATGATCCCAACCTCCCATGTGAATCTGCACTGAAGAAGATGTACAAATTGCTTGAAAAGTATGTAAATTCTCTCATGCATTTTGAATTTATAAAAAACAAAAGAAAGATTGGTAAACAGTTGAAAATAAGCTTTTGGAAAACCAATTTAAACTGCCATCATCTCTTCCGTGTGAACAATTCATTCATTCAGTTATAACCTTCTATCTCTTGAGTAGCTCCCCTGACATTTTGTTTACTCTTGACTGTCAGAATATCTTTTGTTTGTTAAAAAAACATGTCGTATTTTTGAGTTTATTTATTTTCATTCTTATTATTATTTTCTTTTTGCCAGAGTGGAACAGAGTGTATTTGCTCTCTTACGTACAAGAGACATGGCTATTTCAAGGTATAGGGAATTTGGAATTCCTGTTAACTGGTTACAAGATTCAGGAGTTGTTGGCAAGGTATATCCTCCGTAACTGGAAAATTTATTTGAGTTAGTTTCTGGTTTGGTTTGAGGTGGTGTTTAATGTTTTTGAATAGTTATGTATGCTTGCTTCATCAACTGCCATTTCAGAATATGCTAACTGCACCAGGGACTAGTTAGCCAAGTTTCACCAATCATGAAATGTTGTAGAAAGTTTGTGCGTTGTTACTTTGCTATGCCAATGATTCAGTGATATCTTTAGTTGCAAAGGATGACTGGGGACTCAAAACAATTGTGTTTGCATTTGGACCTATTTTACTGGCTTCTATTTTACTTGCAACTGTAAGGAGAAAATTTGTTGTGCATCTGCTCTGCAACAAAATAATCACATACTGTTTTTGTCGATGGCAGATCAAGCTCTCGTCTGTTCAATTGGCAAGGAAGTATATGAAACGTGTATCAACAGAACTTGATGCAATGAGTGGACCTGAGAAGGAACCAAACAGAGAATTTTTGCTTCTGCAAGGCGTACGGTTTGCTTTCCGTGTCCATCAGGTAATTTTATTTCATACAATTTTTTGTTTAATATGCATGAGATTTACAAAACGAGGAAGTAGTTTTGATAGATTGAAATTGATTTATTAAAGTGAGAACTGCAGCACATTTTAAGTGGTGAAACATGAGCTGTGTCATGGTAACATTTTACCTAAGTTGAAAACTTAGAAATGGAATGTCCTAGTAATTGTGCCAATGAGAAGCTGACTTGGATCAATTTGCAGTTTGCTGGAGGCTTTGATGCGGAAAGCATGAAGGCATTTGAAGAACTAAGAAGCCGTGTGCGTGCACAAGGAGAAGACACAAAACTGGAAGCATGAGATTATTTTTCTTCTTTGGCTTAATTTTCTTCATTTGTCTTCACATTTCTGTTGTATATCCCATCTTCTCACTTGGTGTTGCAAAAAACATCAGAAGTATAGGTTGGAAAATACAATGATCTGTTCTGTGCAGGAACTTATACAAAGTACAACTTTTGAGGGTTTTTTTTTTTTTTTTTTAATATATTATTATTTTATAAACTGGCAAAACCTCTTCTCGATTCATGTTGTCTATTGAAGCATATGTAAAGGATAGCTTAAACAGCAAGGTCAATATGTGAGCTGATATCAAGAGTTGATGGTATTGCCCTAAATATAGTGATGACTTGGGACCATCGGAAGCAACGAAAGGAAAAAAAAATGGAGTAAAATCATGGAAAAGATATCTCATTTTGTTACAAATTTATGGGATATTTATAGGATGTAAAGCTGGGATTAGACTGAAGCATTATACTTTGTTATATATTTAAGCACTAAAATCACATTGTTGTTTAGAATCTTTAGCTTGTTAGTATCCTTTCCTTTCCAAATATTCTTTTCCCTCTCCATCCTGTTAGTATCCTTGCCTTCTCTAATATTTTTTCCATCGCACTCCTGAGTCCTGACAATTGATACCTGTCTTGAAAATGGACTCTTTCAAAAATTTACAAGGCATAGACAATCCACCCGTATGAAAATTGTGCATAACAAAAAGCCCAAGGGCTAAAATTACTGGAATTATCAGCTGTTATATCAACTCTCAGAATGATATCCAAATTGAAAAAAGCATTCACAGCACTGTAATTGAAGTATTGAACTATCTCATTGTGACTGTAAGACTTCTGTCTAAGAATTTGGCACCTGCTACCTTTCCCTGAATTTCTGGAGGTAAACATACGACACGTCTTTGGTCTCCTGCTTCAACTAACAGCTCAGAACCTCCCCTGTACTGCAGTATTAAGATGATAAAAGTATTATCTGTCATATTAATTTAAACTCTAAATATTCAGCCAATTGAATAGAAGCATAAAAAAAAATAAAAAAAATAAAAAAATAAAAAAATGAAAGAAAAAATGCAACTGATTGTTCAAAGCATACACACAGTGCAGAGGATTGATCAGCAAACAGAGCACAGCCCATATATTTGGACAATACAAAAGTTGAGTTCATACTCATGAATTTGATATCGGTTTGAATCTATTTCAAGCTTAAGGCATCAAATTATATGGGTCAAAGTAGTATCTAGAATTGCCTTATAGGGCAACTTTTGTTAAAATATAGTTCAACTGCTCCCACTGGTTCTTTTACATTTTCCTGTCAAAGGGTTATAACTCATACACCTCCACGGATGATTTTCAGAGGATTCACAAGAAAACAGTCCTTTGATACCTCATGTGTTACCAATGCCCATAGCAACCACACTATGAGGAAAATATATGGAAGAGTAAAAGAACTTGTGCTTAATGGGTTACCAATGCCAAAAATTTCCAAGCAACAATGAAAAGATGTGAAAGATTTAAATATCTTGAAAGAATATATTTTCTTTACTGGATAAAGACTTGAAAATAACACAACATACTTGGTATAGCTTGATCTCTGACTTGTCAAAACCTGGCATGAGAAGCGTTACAGACTTTCTAGCCACATCAAACTTCACTGAAGGCATCATGCTATTGCCGTTCCTTGCTGGCAAGGAAAGAAGATCTCGTGCATATTTACTGTTTGTCTTCAGCATAATTGCATTCCAGTCTATAAAGGCATCCATTGAGATCTGTGGAACAAAAGCCAAAGGCAATGGCAAAAAATTCTTCCTGACTCTTTCCTCTGATTCTACATTTGGATGTGGAGAAGCAATACCAATTGCACCAGCAACCTGTGCACCAGCTTGGACTGTACAACCCCAATAACGTAACGCAGAATTTACAGAGATTGTACTATTTGGGTCCATAACAAGGAAGCAGCCAAATTTATGTGGTTCTGTGAAGGCAGAAGATACTCGCTGCCCACAAAAAAGCCAATACAGAACCTATTGGATTTACATCATAATTGTGAAAATAACAAATGGGAATTATATTTACCTCCAGCATTCGTTCCATAGAGTCCCATATCTCTGCACTCATATTTCCATTCAGAAGACGCCTGCGGCCACTTATACTCAAGGCTTCATCTACAAGTCTCAAGAGTGATGGACCAGCCAATCTTCCAAGATCAGTCTTCTCAGCCATATTGCGTAAGTATTTCAAGTACAATCTGAGCACATTCATGCTGTTACATACAGATCATTGAGGGCATGACACATTCAGGTGAGGAAGAGAAGTGCAATTTCCTAACCTTGCTTTACTGCTTGCACCAATCATCCGTAGAGTTTCCTCAGAACAGATACCATCATATATTATTACATCAAAATTTTCTTTCTGGTGGTTTCTTTGGGCCACATTCCCAAAGAACCCCACTAGCCTCTCAAGTGCAAATGCTGATAAAATAGAATCCATCCCAGGAAGCACCCCAAGCTCTTCACCAACCACCTATACTACATTTCAAAGAAAAATGCATAATGATACCTATGCAGTCATATTGTTTAAGGGCATGAAACTACACCAAAATATTGAGATATTACATACCCACCCCTCCAAGAACTCCTTGGGTCATATTAAGACGGGCATCTGCTTCTTTCAGCCGATTGAGAGGTTCAAGGAGCATCTGCAATTATAAAAAATGATTCATCTAGAGTTTAAATACACTCAACACAAGAAATCAAGAATGACATACAACACAAATTTAGATAAAATGAGGATTAAGGGAAAAAAAGTCTCACTTTAGTTGTTTCCAGCCTAACTGCCGAAAGATTATCATTGCATACAATAGGAGAAGTTCCAATCTTACAGTTTAGAAGATAGTCAGCAGTAGGATCTTGATTTTGTAAAACCAAGCAAGTACTACGCCCGGCCATTGCATAATGCTGAACAATAAAAGGAAAAACAAAGGCAAACGACAATTAATCAGTAAAGACACAACGCTTAAAATCCAAAGTCTTTAATTGAAGTTTAACCCATTCTGTAGCAAGGAATGAGAAACCCATTAGAACAGATAGGAAATAACATGATGATCCAAACATTATAGCCAACAAAATGGACCAATACAGCCTTCTCAAAGAAGTAAAATGGACAAATTTAAATTCAAACTTATGAAGAAGCATAAATGATGTTGATGAACGTTTACCGGTTTCACTTGTAAATTATGAACATTGTTTTCTTTCTTTCCCCTGAAACTATAAATTGCCATTTTCATTGATTATTAAAAGATATATAATACCTTGTATACTCAAGACTCGTTTGGTACTTTCTTTCCAAATACATGAATATAGCTTAATCTCATAATCTGGACTTCAAATTCATAATGTATTTTATATGTTAAAGATAGAAAATTTTATAATCGTTAACACTGAAATATAAATCCTATTTGAATGGGTAATCCTAAACCTTAACAAATATAATAAATAAATTGAATACCAACATGTATTTTTCTTTCCTAAATCACAGTTGCCAAAAAGATTTATTTATAGGATATGATTTGATAAACCTGAGCGGCGAACACAGAAGAGGTAGTCTTGCCGGAGCCACCTTTACCCAAAAAAGTAAGTAAAGTAGTTGATTTATCATTTTTATCAGTATTCAAGTTAGAAGCTGAAATGGGTTTTCTTTTAAGGGAATTGGGATGTGGGTTAGCTAACAGGAGTTGAGGAGAGATGAGTGAAGTCATTCTCTTAAAGATTGTTCTTGAATTTGAGTGAGTTGTCGGTGTTGCTATTGCTCTTGCCTCTTGCACTAGCAGGTTTGAATTGGATGGAAAGAGATAGGGACGGTGTTGTGTTGATTTCTTGCTCGGGTTTGGGTTGTCAATTTGGTGTTTTAAATTTAATACGCCGCATTTAATGACAACGGTAATAAACCCCGCAGTTTCATGGCCGGCACGTTTTGTGTTCCATTTATAATTTCCAAACGTCAAGGAGTCGAAATGATATTTTAAAGGTATAGCAAGTTGTAGAACTTCAGGGGCCAAGAAACGTTTTACAAGTAAAAGGTAAATTTGTAATATGAACTAAACATCAACCACTCAAAATGATATTTCCCGGCAAAAGGATGTATATAAAAAAAAAAATGTAAACATCATGGGGATGAAATGATATTTAACAGGAAAAGGGTGCATTTGATAAGTTATAAACCTTAAGGAGTCGAAAAAAATTTAAGAGCTAACGGGTGTGTTAGAAAAAAATAAACCTTAAGCAGCAGAAATGATATTTAAGAGAAAAGGGGTATATTTGATAAGTTTTCAATCTTAGGGGATCGAAACGATTTTTTGGGGGTAAAGGGTGTATCTGATAAACTGTAAACCTCAAGGAGTTAAAAAATATTTATAGGGTAAAAGGGTGTATTTGAGAATTTATAAACCTCAAGGGATCGAAACGATATTTTAAGGGTAATAGGGTTTTCCGAAATTTGTAAACCTCAAGGGTTTAAAATGATATTTGTTTGGTGAAAGGGTTTATTTGAAAGTTCTAAACCTCAAGGGATAGGAGCGATATTTTAAGGATAAAAGGGTGTATTTAATAATTTGTAAACCTCAAGGGTACGAAATTATTTAGATGTAAAAAGGGTGTGTTTGGGAAGTGGTAAGCCTCAAGGGGACGGAATGATATGTTTTGGGTAAAGGGTGCATTTGTTCTTTTGTAAACTTTTTAATGGAAAATAGGGTTTAATTGATAGTTTTCAAACGTTTAAGGGTTTAAATTTTTTCCTGTGTAAAGGCTGTGTTTCGAAGTTGGGGTACAGGCCATAGGGTGGCCACTCTCTTGGCTTAGCTTAGCCCCAATCTAATGGGTCCCAACTCCCAAGTTGAGAATTTTTTTTTCTTTGTATATAAATTCTAATAAAATCACTATTATAAATATTGTTTTATTAAAAAATTAATATTGAATGATTTGAATATTTAAAATTATTAACATTTATTTATTTAAATTTTTTGATATTAGTCAAAATTTTGAATTTATTATTACTAAATCAAATAAAAAATTAATTTGATTTGATTATTATTACGTAAAATTACTAATATTATTATTTCATAATATGAGTAGAAATTATAATATTTTTTATTCATTTATAAGAAAATTATTTGAAATATTAAAACAATGTTAAAA